AGGTAATCACGTGACTGAAATGGTTTTTAAACTGGCCGTGATCTTACACTCTAGTACCTTCATGTAAAGTATGTTATGCCTCAGTACGTTCAGGACACTGTACGTTATATCAAAGTATGTTCAATACACTGTATATCTAATTGTATTGAGGACGCTGTACATAAAACCAAAGTATATTCAGGGCACAGCATGTTATATCTTAGTATAATCAGGGACTATATAATGTATCCAAGAATGTTCAGGACTCATTTTGGCAGATCCTAGTAGGATCTAGAGACTGCATTCTAGTATTTTCTTCTTGTATCTTCAGAAGACTTTACGTTATATCCTAGCATGATCAGGCGAGTGTATATTAAATCCTAATATACTGAACAACACAAGTTCCTGTGACACTGAATAAAATTAAATGCAAAGTTATGTCTTTTACCAAATCTGAAACAATTTTGGTTTGCAACAGATAAAAGACTCCTGTAAGTGTTCAAATGGTTTAATTTGCCATACTGACTTCAGAAAATGCGTGATTTCATATAAAAAAAACCATTAACATGCCAAAATGTCAAGTTACAAATCAATAGCGTGTATGTCCACCTCTGGTTGCGATGCAAGCAACACATCTTCGTCTCATGGAATGGACGAGGCGTCGCACAAAGTCCTGTGGGATATCTGTCTATATCTGCTGCATCATGTTACGAAGTTCCTGGAGTGTTTGTGGAACACGTGGTTGACGTCGAAAGCGCCGATCCATCTCATCCCACATGTGTTCGATTCCTGAACATGTCGAGCAATATGAAGCCGGGCGTTGTCCTGTTGAAAGGTGATGCCTGGGCCATGACAAAGCAAAAACGGTAGAACGACAGGTCGATGATCTCGTCGTGGTAGCGCTGTCCATTGAGATTTCCCTCTACCACTATCAAACGGGTCCTCTGTCTTGCTAATCCCACACCATGCCATAACGCTGTCGCCCCCGAACCGATCTTCTTCCATGACACAATGATTGACGTAACGTTCACTTCGACGTCGTTACACTCAAATCCGTCAATCGTTGTTGCTGAGGTGAAAACGAGACTCGTCAGTGAATAGAACTTGTCCCCACTACATGGCCGTCCAGCGTTGACGCTGTCTGCACCACTGTAGACGTGCTTCACGGTGGTTTCCTGTCACAATTTGACGTCTGGCGTGTCTTCTGGCGACAATCCCTGCACATCTGAGGCGGCGACGTACGGTTTGTGAGCATATTCGTCGAAGGCCAGGGATGCTTCTTTCAGTCACTGTTGCTGGCTGGAATCGAGTTCGTAGGTGTACGAAGACTGCACTCGTCTGTTACCAACATTGCCATAAACACCAAATGGTGTTTCTGTTGACGTTAAACTGTCTTGCAACATCACGTTGACTCGATCCTGCTTTTAAGCATACCAATTGCTCGCAGACGCTCATTTTCGGACAGGCGTGGCATTTTGTATTGTTGAATAATTGCGTAATTGTGTTGTTTTTCTGAGTGGTTGTTGTCAGCACGATGCTAAACAATGCATATGGAATCCGTTAACGCACATGTTTTTATACCCATATTTGGGTAGTGAAACGCATGGGGCTTGCATAAAAGTCAACTTTTGCATGGAATGCCTACTTTTCTGTAGCAGTTGCGTTTTTGTGACTTGGTTCCATACATGTACTACAATATTGAAAACCAATCTTTACTTGTTTGAAAAATACACTAAAATATTGGTGTCACGGGAACTTTTGTTGTTGAGTATATGATCGGGAAACTTTGCGTTACATCAAAGGATGTTCATTACACTTTTTATTTTTTATATTCAGGACCTTATGACCAAATATCTTGAGGACACAGTACGCCATATGTTAATCTGTATGTTATCTCCACGAATGTTCCGGAGACTGGCCGTCATACCCTAAGATTACCCATACCCATACTATTTCTTGGTATGTTCAAGACGCTATAGTTATTGTAGGATCACGAGGGGTACATTGGGTTTTATGCGTCCCTCGTTAGGTTTAAAAACACTCGCCTCCAGCTCATGATCCTGCTACAGCGAATTTATCTTACCGGCATGTTTAAACTTGACATCATGTAAACTAATTAAAACAAATTCAAAACTGATAGAAAATATATTTTCGATTGAGTCCAGGTTAACGTTCTATGTCACGTCACTTCCAATGACTCTAAAAGCGTGCGGCCTTTTGCTTTGAAGCGGGTATAAGGGATTTATTATGCCTCTCAGAAATCCACGTGCAGCTCGTGGCGGGGTATATTATTTGTCTGCTGCGAAATTTATTTCCCTCCAAGGCCGGTTACATGAGGACGTTGTATGTTCAGGACACAGTTTATTAACTCGCAGTATGTTGAGGACACTGTGTCTTATATCCGAGTATGTTCAGGTCAAGGTGTCTTATATCCGAGTATGTTCAGGTCACTGTATATATCCAATCATGTTGAGGACTTTGTACGTTTTTTCGTGTCTGTTAACTGTACATTTTATCTTAGTATGCTCATACCTCTGTGACACCCGTCGCTGGGGAAATTGTCCCCATGGACATCGAACTGCACAACAAGAGTATGCTAACCTACCCAGGAACTCCCGACCCACCTATCGCCTGCTTCAAGAAGACGATCAACTTCCATGACTTCTCAAAGGTACACGCGCAGCTGAACTACATGTATTAGTATTAGTATCAGTAATGGCTGATGATTCTGTTACATTTCGAAAGCATGAACTGAAAGTTTTATGCTGCAGTCCATTCGGAAAATGTGTTATGTTGGCCTTTGGTGAGAAACACCCACGGCAGCTCGTAACAGAGAGTGACCTACTTTAGTGTTTATAGTTCAAATTCAGTCCCAGCGCCTGACACCTTTGTTACTCTCAGGGTAAAAGAGCTCGTTTACAGTTATCAACTTCCGGGAACTAAATAATTCAGGACGCTTCCAGGTAGAAATCTCTAGATCGATTACATGCATCAATCAAGTCAGCGAGCCTTACCGACCGATCCCGTTAGTCGCCTCTTACGACAAGCATAGTCGCCTTTTACGGCAAGCATGGGTTGCTGAAGACCTATCCCACCCCGGATGACGTATCTACTTGCACAGTGCGAACTGTATATCTATCAAACAATCGGAAGACTTTTCCACCTGCTTCAAAAACTGTTTACCGGATTTAGAAACGGAACACTTGACTCATTCTAGACAACTGTGCTATAATAGGGCATGATATTTATATTGCTACTGCCACATATGTTCACCTTTTGTGTTGTCTAATCATGTGTATTTCAGTTGCTAATTATTCATTGATCTTGTAATTTACTGGTTTTCACAAAATAGTTCTATACAGACTGATTTCTTCTGGGTTAACCTTCGATTTTCTCATTGGGAACCAATACATAACATAAGAAATAGGATAGAGTCTAAGTTATTCTGAAATGTGAAGATCGTTGCAACTGACCATTAAGCCATTGTAGCTAAGATTCTTGTAATTAGTTCAGTGACCTTCAGAGACAGTTATCTGAATGAAATGGTTCTTTGACTGTATGTTTGCAGGGCTTGGTGGCTATGAAGTTTGTTGGGAAAAACGTCTGTTTTGTCAAAACATCTGACGAGACATATGAAGAAATTGTGAAGGTCATTGATCGTATCAAAAAAGTAAGGTGTTTTGACCATTAATAAATATTGCAGCATATCTTGTGCGTCAATTTATACCATTGCAGATTCTCCCTGTTAATATGTCTAGGTTGTGTGTCTTCTTCGGTGTTTCAGCACCATACCTGTGCTCATGGGTTCCACCAACGTTTTGACCTCACGAATCAAACACAATAGAGCAGAAATATCGCAACATAAGAAGCACACTCTCACTCACAAACTATCATATCTGCGAAGATCCTAACTGATTATCTTATCTTACGTATCTCACATGCTGTATGACATACTGAACATTGTTTTACGCTGGTAGTATTGATCCCATATGGGCTGCTCTCACTTGTTTGGCAAACCTGGCATGAAAACTAGCACGTGTATCCCTGTGACCAACTCCGCTCCTGTCGTGTATGTGGAAATAACTAATCTCCAAATTGATATTACATGTGAACTATAAATAAAACATGGTGTTAATATCATGTTCGGGATTAAGTTGAATAGTGAACACTTCTATTCTGTTTATCATGCAGGGAGATAACGCCCCAAAGTCTATAGCCACGGAAGAGTGGGTCACTCCCAGAACTCAAGTGCCTACTGAAGAAGTCGCCCGGAGAGTAGGCTCAAAGATCGCTAACTTCTGTAGCGGCTGCAAGGTGTATGTCCTCCAAGATGGCAAAGTGATTCGGACTGCTGCAGGTAAGCAGTTGTCTTCGTCTACATACCTCACAGATCTAGTAGATCAATATTGACAATCAGTAGTTGTCTAGTAACCTGCATCCTTATGCATGCTATATTTCCAGGGACTATTTCCTTATCTATTTGTTTCAATAATTACAGTAACTAAATTAACTTTAATAATCTCTGTGTCATTTGATATCAGAATTGCCTTATGTATTTTTGTTTGATGTACAAAGTACACATGTTTAACATGAATAAACTATTTTTCCAGATGTCCCCAGAGTAACAAGGCGTGGAAGAGGTAGGTTTACAATCTGATTTTGAATATAGAAGACATATACAATGTTCGTATTGACCTGCAGAATTGACTGTGGAAGGATGCATTGTGCTCAGCATACTTTCATTCTCTATTAGGTGATATGTCAGCAAGCAGGTGTGAATGTTTTCAAGGTTATACTTGTTATTGAAAATAATAGAGCTTACGAATAGGAGGACATTTCTCATTTCATTTGTCAAGAGGTTTTCTGAACAATCAATTTCACACACTAATTTAAGCACAAGTTGCTGTGCAATTTATGTTGTGGACAATAATGATCGGTTTTGATCTGTCAAGATACACAATCAATCCATTAGTACACAAATTACATATTAAAGCACTGAACAGCGATTCGGTTATTTGACGGTGTGCCAAGAAAGTGATGAAATCTCAGACGATTACAACTTTGGTGAAACCAACGAGAATAGGTATAGTGCTGGCGTTCCTAGAACTAGGATCAGGGATAATCAATGGCATTGGATTAATAGGGACGCAACTCCTTTTTAAGTTTTTTTTGGGGGGGGACTTTTCCTGGTGGATCTGTTTTAGAGGAATTTCCTCTGATTTGTCTGCCTTTGTAGCTATTGACAAAGGAAAGCAACGAAATCGCAAAACAGCATTTGCAATGCTCATTAAATATGCGTATCAAACGAATGGGATTTGTTTTCGCTCTTTTTTTATATAAAAGATAATCTTAAACTGATTATATCTTTAACCTGATCTCTAGTTGTAGTTAGGCTGAGATATCATGCAATTATTGAGTGATTTGGTACCTAATGCGGGCAATTTGGTTCTGTACTTAGAATTTACAATATGGTTAATGTGTGTCTATACTTGTTTAAACATTGTTTTCTTCACACAAGTGGGAAAGCTTATTCAGAAGATAACATATACGTTTAGTTGTACTAGTCCCCCCAGGGAATGAGTAAGAATTGCTCCGCATCAAGTCGATTATTTATAGGCAGTTTTTATGAAACTGGATATATTGCTCGGACCGACTGTAAACAACAAACAAACAACATATCTGTAGCCATGATTAAATGTGATATTAGAGTATATTCGTTCTTTTTGAAGCCAATGAGATCATCCTCATTTAGGTAAGATGTATATCAGAATGCGCCTTGTCCATCGATAGTACACCATAGATGTTATTACAGAGGTAAGGATAAACGACATCTAAACCCTCAACTCATCACTCAAGCACCAGGTAAAGGCATACGTTACGATGGAGATAAATTGAACTCGTGTCTACCACAAACATTCAATAAAATTATATGTGCTAGTTAAATCAGTGTCTTTCTTTTCCAGACGATTCTCCATCAAGCCTGTCCAATCATAGAAGGAGATCATGCGGTTGGTTGGCGGTTTGCTTCGGTTGTAGCGTTGGCAGTAGAGAAAAGGAGGAGAGTCACTCTGGGGCAGATCAGCCTGTAGGCTTGAACAGACAACCCAGCTCGGAATAAAGCTTCTGTACATTCTATGTAGATGTTGTCATTTGTTTTCCTCAGTACATATACGGACAATACAATATTGGATCTGCTTATTCCGTCTGATATTGTTACTTCTTACACACCCGTGGGTGAGAAACCCATTTGAGATGACATGTATCAAACATATCTGTGAGATCGAATTCTAGGCTCGTGATGGGATACTGCATGGGGATGACCTGATGACAGACTACTTTTGAATCGTAAGTTCAATGGTAATTTACTTGTGCTTCATTCGAATGTCCACATACGTCTGTGTTGAACGTTATGGGTTAACAGGTTAACTCCCCTGGTTGCCACAGCGACAAGATTATATACCCTCCTCTTCAACCCTCAGTTTGAAATCGAATAAAATTAATTCTCTTGTTTACATTGGAAAACATAAATACAGCACGCAGATTGTATGATTGTTTCTGATGAGTTACATGATACATTTATGTTTATACAATCCCTCAATCAATGAAAATCCTCCTATGAATATCCCGCGCACTGTTGTCAGTGAACGTGCCATTCTGTAAAAGTCAGTCAGCGTTATTGATGTCCTACGGAAGTAACCATTGTTGAACATATTTGGTAATTTCTCTGATGTGATTTATTTTAATTCGGCATCCACTGGGATCTTTGATCTGATCCATGTAGTATTATCATCATCGCCTTGAGAAGCAAGATATGGCAAATAACTTTTTTGTGTAGGGTTATATTATTTATGAGTAGTAAGCTGTACGTTGAATGAAAGACAAACTGCATCGATTCGATGCTGAAAAAGTGCGATTTTAGGGTGTGTAAGAAACAGATTACTACACGAGTGTCAGTCAAATACCATTTATCATACAAGTCGTTGCTTCAAAGTTTTCGCTCGTTATTTACGTTTTGAAACAACTCGTTGTAAGATAAATGGTATTTGACAGACACTCGTGTAGTAATCTTTATATTCTTCGCATAATCCCTTCAAGTGTTCTGAGGCCTATCTGATTGGATGAATGTAATTTGTTGTATGCATCACATTTAACAAAGCATCGTTGGTCTTATGTGCGTGAGTGAGTGAGTGATTTAAATTTTACATCGCATCGGCAATATTTCAGCCATATAGCGATGGGAACTAGGTATTAGATTTAAAATATCTGTCGGCAAAGGACAGTAAAATAGTAAGGTATATCACAGTTTGTAATAAAACAAACCAGGCTCCATCACATACAATCGAGCCATAATCTAATTTTGAGAGAATAAATGATCTGTATAAGTGGAGGAGGGTTGTCTGATCCCCTCCCCACTTAGTATTGGATACGACTTTCAATAAATCTAAAGCCTTCAGATATTTATTCTTCAGATACTTAATATGCGGCAAATAGGTCAAATGATGGTCAAAAACAAGTCCCAAAAATTTGGCCTCCTCAACAACCTTAATGGGAGTACCGTCAAGAAACAATTCAGGATCTTTATGGGCTTTATAACTTCGAAAATAATGAATACAATTTGTCTTGGATTTTGAAGATTTGAAACCATTTTTTTTCACACCAATTCTAAATTTTATTTAAGCAAAGCTGCAATTGTCTTTCAAATGTACGCATATTTTTGCCACGACACGAAACGTTAAAATCATCAACAAATAATGACCCATCAATTGAGTCATTTAAAACAGTTGCCAAACTGTTAATCTTAATACTAAATAAAGTGACAGACAATATACTGCCTTGTGGAACACCCTGATCCTGATTATAATAATCCGGCAGGGTCGAACCCACTCGGACTTGAAATTGCCTCTCATGTTAACACTTTAATACAAATTGAGGCAAACCAAAATCATGTAAATCTTTCAAAATAACATGTTTCCATGTGGTATCATATGCCTTTTCTAGGTCCAAAAAAGATTCATGCCACATGCTGTTTATTTACAATGGCATTTTTTTATAAATGAATCCAAACGTACTAAACGATCGTTGGTACTTCTGTTTTTGCCTGGGTGTTTGCTATGGGTGGATCAAGGGTACATGTTGTACATTGGACATACAAACATGGGTATATGCTATGGGGGGATCAAGGGTACATGGTGTACATTGAATGTAAGTGATTAAATTGTTGGTTTCCAAGTACCAAACCATCTATTGTTTACCATACGTTCAATGGATTTACAGACACAGCTAGTTGATGATATAGGTCGATAATTTGGTAGATCTGAATGATCCCGGCCAGGCTTTGGTATAGGGATGACAATGGCATTATGCCAAGAAGATGGAAAATTCTGTGAAGTCCATATGTCATCAAAGATACAAAGCAGAACTTCTTAACATGGTTCAAGGCAAGTGTTTCAGAAGTTGATAATGGATGTTATCAGCACCCTTTGCGTTTAATGGGCCTGTCCAAGTGCAGTATTTAGCTCATGAACTGAAAATATTTCGTTATAATCTTCACCATGGCCGGAACTAAAATTAATACTTTTCTTCTCTTGTTGCTGTTTGTATTTTTGTAATTTAGCTACGTAATTAGATGATGAAAAGTGTTTGGCCAAAGTTTCGCCCAGTTTATTTGCAATGTCAGTTTTGTCAATAAGCAATTGATCACCATCTTCAAGGTGATGAACAGCTTTACCTTTGATGTTTTTTATCATGTGAAATCAGAGTACAGGAATTGATTTTGGATAGATACCTTCGCCACGATTGGCGTTTTCTTTGCTTAATTGTGCGTCGTCGCTTGGTGTTTGTTATTTTGACATTATTGAGATTATGTACTGTAGGATGTCAAACTGTATCAAACCATGGTTTACGAATATGTGGAAATGCAGAGAACTTTGGAATAGTTTCATCAGCAATTCTATTTAGTTTGTCCGAGAACACCTGAAAAAGATCAGGTTCAGTTATCAAAATATCAAGTGTCAATATTTCCTCACACAATGATTTAAATAAAGGCCAATTTGCCTTTGAAAAATCAACCTTGTTGAAAGTGGCTCATCGGCTGGGTTGTTGGCAGTAAGAATAGAAGGGAAATGATCACTTCAACAAAGATCATCATGGACTGTCCATGTAAATTCATTTAACATATTGGAATCTGTAAGTGAACGATCCCAAACAGAACAAGTCCTGCTAGCAGGATGTAAGTATGTTTTTGAGCCATCATTAAAAATACATAGATTATTGTCAGTGATTAAATCTTCAATGATTTTTCCCTTTGAATTTGTGTTGGCACTTCCTCATAGAGGAATATGGCCATTCAGGTCTCCCATGATTATACAGGATTTCGGGAGTTGGTCATATAATGACTGTAGTTCAGACCGCCCAAGAGCTGAAGAGGGTGGAATATATAAGGATCACAAAGTAACTACTATGTGCAGTGTGAGTCGAACTGCAACAGCTTGTAGGTTGACATTAAGAGGAACAGGGTTGTGGATCACATATCACCTCACCAAAATAAAATATCCCCCATTAGCTTTAACAGCAGGAGGAGAAAATGAATGATGCAAAATGTATTTATGCAAGTCAAACTTATCTGTTGGCTTGAGATTTGTCTCTTCCAGACAGAATGCTGACGGCTTAAATTCCTGTACTGATAACTGTAATTCATTAAAATTGGTCCTTAGACCTCTGCAATTTCACTGTATGAGTGAAGGGTAATTGTTCATGTTATCGGTGGTGGACGGACGGGCGATCTACTTTGCCCTGACCGTGGCGACTTGCTTCTGTCTTCCAAGATCTGATATTTGTTGTAAGCTTGAATTGGATCACGCAGACTCTTTGAGATTCTGTCAGATTTGTGTGAATAATCAACTTTCTTGCTGGCATTTTTAACAGTTGGAGAAGGTGATGAATGTTGTGTCTCAGTCTGTGAACCTACAAAAGCAACAGCTTCAGGAACAGGATCAACAACTTCAGGAACAGGAGCAGTGTTCAGAATGGAATATGTGTCTGTTTTTACCCAAGTAATATCAGTCTGGGTGTCAAAAGATTTGTTTATTGTTCTCGACACAGCTGTGGAGTAAGAAAATGGCAGAGTTTGTGGTTGGCTAAGAGATTTTCTTTTCCTGTTTCGCTTGAACGAATTTGTGTTCTGTTTGAAAGACAGGGCATACTCTTGAGGAGGACATATGGTTTCCATTGCAGTTTATACACTTAGTTGATAGTGCAATCATAACTCTCATGATCAACACAATTTAGTTCCATGTCTAAATGTTTGGCATGTGTAACGACGGAGAGGATTTGGATGTGACAATACCCTGCTTTGATTGCTTTAGGAAAGTTGTGAAGGGCAAATATAAAGAGATAGGTGTTGGTATTGATAATTTTATTGTTTAGTTTCCTGGTAAAGCGTTTGATGTGAGTAACTCCTTGATCTTTCAGCTCTGAAGTTAGTTCTGCTTCGGTCAGGTCAGAGAGGATTCGATCTGTATCTCTCACAATACCTTTACAGCTATGGGGGGTTTAGGGGGTGAATTCTTCACCTGAGTAGTGACCAAAGCTTGCAGAGTGTTTGATTGTTTTCGAGTTTTGCACTCGATCAAGAGGAAACCATTCCTTATTTTCCTGACATTTTTAACATCACCAGCGATGCCATAGATTGATTTTACAGTAGCAAATGAATTTAGCCTTAAATGTTCATCATCAATAGTTTGAACAACTAAAAACCTGTTCGAACTATGAGGAGGTGACAAGGAATAAGTTTGGTATTTTTTGGTTGCGCCATGGTTAGTTTGTGTATGGTTCATCACCCCAGCTCCCCACCCACCACGGAGTGTCAATGACGATGCTTCATACCAGCAAATCTCCAAATGGCAGCACCAAGGATACTGGGATGGTATACTCAAGCAGATTAACTGAAAAAATAATCAATCCACCAGATTGGCCCATGAACCACCGCCTTCTTGGCATACGACTCTAGGCAATTGAAATAATAAACAATCAAAATTCAAGATTTAACACATATATAATTTGGCCAAGTCCGAAAGTAAAAAAATTAAATCAAAAGTCAAATCAGTTCAAAAACAATATGTGCTCAGGGCTTGGCGTGACCAGCCGATTGATAGAACCAGGCCCATTCTACCACGGTCTAGGCGAAGTAAGGGTCGAAGTGGTGTATTGGGCAAAGGAACGCTATTCCTGGAACCAGTGCCCTCAACCACTCCCGTCATCCGCCGACACAGGGGTGCAACCCAAGGCAAAGAGGTTGCCCAATTCGGTCACCTTTTACGACCAGCAATGGGGTGCTGAGGACACATTCTACCCCGGGTCCACACGGGGGAAGAGCTATTAACGTTACCCAGCACTCACCACGTGGAGGTTGCTCTTCATGAGTGCCTGGTCTTATGTGATCAGGTCTCATCTGTGGCATATTGAAATTAAAGCATTTTTGTCGACTTTAAAAAAAGTTGATAAGTACAACAAGACTGACGCTACCTTTCTTTAGTATAGAGACCAGTTAAATATAAAACGCCAGCATCATGGAGGACAAGTTAGTGAGGCACGGATACAAAACATTCCTGATATGACAATATGTTTTTTGGACCATGTAGCAATAACACACACAGGTTATGTTACAAACCCTAGTGTTCACCTAACCCTGCAACCCGCATTGTAAAGACTTGTTAATCAAATGTCATATTTCCAAGTTTGGTAAAATCTCACATATGTGTCCTTGGTGTAACTTATAGTTACCAACATTTGTGCAACGTTTCAGCTTCACCAGTCCAGTAGATTTGGAAAAGACGTTTACGGAAACGGAACTGAACGGAAACATAGCACATGTCTGATGTCATGTCAAGGTAGAACCTTTTTGACCAACAAACAAATTGCAGCCTAATCTCTGCTAAAATCGCTGACCAAATGGTTTGAGTGTTCTCCAGTACCATGTACATTTCTGTATATAAACCTGTGGCCTTACGTCCAACTCAAGTGTGTTTGGTTTTTCTTGCAATGGTGCAGCATCTACCTCTGCTAAAGCATTATCCTAAAAAAATACATTTTATATCTCTCTATATGTAATTATGCAGTTATGTTTTGAAAACTTGTTTATGAGGGATATTTTTTAGGGAAAAACTAAGTACTAATTGATTCATTTTAAAATAGTGATGATACCAGGTGTTCGCGAAAAGGTTCAGGTATCCTGCATCACCGTGGCACCCGTCACAAACACATGCAACGGCAAGTCAATTATTCACCCGAAAAAGACACGGGAACAGACTGTTACAAGTCAAAATAGGGAATTGCATGGAACATAATTTTTTTCACTGTTGCCTCTAATTTGGAAATGTCATGTCTATTTTTGAAAGCTTTATTGAGGCCTTATTGTAACCTTGATCAAATAACTTGTGAGCAAGAGATTTCTTAAGACTATGGAAAGGGCTCTGTCGTTATTATTCCGTATTATTATTAACATGTGAGTCCCGTAAACAGCAAAAGCAGCGAGGTGTTTGTGCAATGAATATGGGAACATTATATATGTCGCACCAATAACATTGGGCACAGGGGGGAACATTTCGTGCGTAAGGTCGATGCTGTGATGTAAAAGTAAATTGTTAATATTAAGTTCACACGTAATTAGTTCCACCTGCCAGTTCCTAATCTAATTGTTTTTACTTTTCTGTTTATTTGTTTTATAGTTTTACACCGTGACTGCCTCCTTGGTTTAAGTGGCTAGAACGTCTACTGGAAAGTCCGTGGTTCGATCCGTGGCGGAATCAAAACAAATTACGTCGAAAGATTGCATTTGTTGTTACCCTGATAGCGCTTGGCATTATGAGGATAAAACACTGATCGGCTCGCAGTCAGTTTACTGTGTCTGAGTGGGATGTCTATGTTAATACTGCTACATTGTATCAGGATGTTTCTGAACTGAGAAAATATAAACTCATGTTTGTTGGAGGCAAAAAAATAACAAACAAGAAATGGTTATACGACGGTGATGTATATAATATGGGTATCAAGGTGTTTTCGAATTTAAGTTTGCAGTGTTTCGTGTAGTGTTTTCAGCCAAGTAATGTTTTGACAAAGTTTGTAATGTTCTATTAAAATCTAATTTGTCCGGCAGTATAGTCCAAGGACACACACCGCTATACAAGTGCAATAATCCAGAATGCAACATTTTCATTCCATTTGACCACAATCAGCAGTTGTGTAGGACAGGGACATTTCAGTACGACAATACAGTTTTGATACTGGTTTACTGCCCAGCGTCGTCCCGTGAGATTACACGTAAACAACCACATTTATCGCCTCTTACAATGTTCAGGATACAGAAAGCAGTCGGTGGTACACAAAGGGTAGGTTGTTCTCACAGTTGCAAGGGGTACACAAAGCACCACCAGAGTTCTTTCCTACTGTTGTGAAAGCCTAGTTATAAGGAAAGGTGCTTACCTCACAGCGTAATCAAGATGATGCGGAGAGATCGAGATGGAGTAACTTCGGTTACATATTCGTCTGTTTTCTTCAGTGTCCAGTCTCAATCTGTCAGATTTGGCGGGTAGGTTGATCACGTGCCTCGATCACACCCGGAAACATACGAGTAACATGGGTACAATATGGGAAGCCCATTTCTGGTGTCCCCCCGCCGTGATGTTGTTGGAATATTGTTAGAAGCGGCGTAAAAGCATACTCACTCACTCACTCTCCATTCCTGAAAAATAATGGAGCGTTCAAATAATAGAATGGCGTCACAAATGTGAACTGCAACGTGATTGACACTACGCACGAACTGCGAACGTACAGTTATTTGATAAATCCGTTAAAGCGCAAACATAGAGCCTAAGTTTTGACCATTGTGTCGGAACAGCTTTGTGCGTGAATGCCATGTAGACTGCTAAACTGTTTAGTCAAACAGGCCTCGCCCAACATCCGTTATATCATGGCAGCATCAGGATCGAAATTGAGCTCCTGTCAGAGATGTAGGCCAGGTCCTGTTTGAATACGGCAGTGTGTGTGACACCGCAAGGTAGCATGATTAAACAGGATCTGCTTGGTGTGTGATTGTGCAGATAATATTGATATTGAAGTAACCTTATGATTTGGTTGGTTGGTCGCTTGGTTTGTTGTTTAACGCCGCACTCAGCCATATTCCAGCTATATGACGGCGGTCTGGAAATAAACGAATCTGGACCAGAAAATCCAGTGATAAATATCATGAGCATCGATCCACGCAATTGGGATCGAAGACATGCATCAGCCACGTCAGCGAGCCTGACCACCCGATCCCGTTAGTCGCCTCTTACAACAAACATAGTCACCTTTTACGGCAAGCATGGGTTGCTTCTATTGATATGCTAGAGAGGGTGTACTTTACTATGGACGTGAACACTTGCGTGTCTTACATACAAAATACTAAAGTTTCGAAAGAAGAACTATATTCATCATGGCATATAATGTGTGAATGAGTATAGTTTTACGCCGCTTTTAGCAATATTCCATAAGTATCAGGGGACTCCAGAAATGGGCTTCACACGTTGTACCCATGTAGGAATCGAACCTGGTCTCTTGACGTGAAGAGGGGGCACGGGTGGCCCAGTCGTCTAAGGCGCCGCGATTCGCTGTGCAGAGTTGCGTCCCTTGGGCACGCCAGAAACCTATGATTGTGGGTTCGAATCCCGGTTCTCCCCAATTATGTTTCTAGGTTTGTCAGCACCATACCCGTGCTCGTGGGTTTCACCGAAGTGGTAAACGTCTGAGACCTGCATCACTTTGGGCTTTCCTCCCACATTAAGCTGACACGCCGTGATATAACTGGAATAATGTTAAAAGCGGCGTTAAACCCAACTCACTCACTCATTCACTCTTGACGTGAAGAGTGAACGCTTTAATCTATAGGCGACACCACGGCTCGGCGATACGTATACATGAACGACTGTGCAATACATATATGTAAGATTTGGTTATACGAAATGTAAAGATACTGATAAGAGTGAGTGAATGTGGTTTCAAGCAACATCACGGCGGGGGACACCTGAAATGGGCTTCACACATTGTACCCATGTCGGGAATCGAACCCGGTTCTTCGGCGTGACGAGCTAACGCTTTAACCACTAGGCTACCCGACCGCCCCTTACTTATAAGAAATTACAACGATGCCCACAGTGCAATGTGTTATTCGCCTCAAAATCTTGTCATATACATCCGGGTACTCAGGTGTCTTATCTAGCAATACTCTGGGATACATTATTCCGGAAAAAATCTTATCTAGACTTTTGTTACTATGAAATTCCTACAACACTGCACTAAGGAACTTTACAATACATAGTCGTTCATCGTCATTATATATCGCAAACATGCTACCCCAGCGTGATTTGAATGTTAGAAAATTAAACACACTTTAAAGAAATCATCCAATTGATGACACCATTTTTTCGTGCAGAAATGTTTGATTCTTGATTCTCAATATGTACCTAAACAACACTCGGTAGATAAGTCGTTCGTCGTAAAATAAACAATTTTTTTAGCAGTGGGATTTTGTGCGCATAGGGGCGATAGCTGCAGAAAAACCATCAGTGTGTCAGTGCCCCTATATGCTATCAGTCCCATATCATAAAATGTTTGACAGAAGCAGTTATTAATTATTCTCTCGCGGAAAACTTCTGTATTTGCACATGATATAGTTAATAGGAGTCGTGCAAGGAGGTGTCATCCGACAGGGCCGATAACGGCAAACACACCTGTACCATACTTACACTTGTCATGCTGCGGTAGAAAGTATTTGTTTATGATATACCCACGTGGTGATCGTGTGATGAAGTGTGGACAATGATATCGATGTTGCCATTTCTAAATGTGAAAACAATTCCCCTATGACGTATATAAATATCCAAGGTGTAAAAGTGCCATGTAACACATTGACAAAGCGTGGTAGAATTTGGTATAAAACACACCCGGGGATGAGTAGAGTAAGCAATACTGGCGAATGATCAGTTGATATATGTCGACATAGCTGTTTGGTAAGTATGCTCTATGTTGGTGTTATTCCAGTGTTAGACACGTAGACAACCATTTTGGTGAATAGATTTATCCTGGTATTTGTGTATCTATTTTAGACCGCTTGACAAGATGATTGTTGCTGCTCTATTGCTGGTTGTGTTTCCGAGTGCCTTGGCGCTACCCGAGGTATGTCTGTCTCTCTTACGGTTCATTGGACAACTACCGACAACTTCAACGATTACATCCGAGTAGACAGTTACCATTATGTGATGATATGGTCAGGACACTGCGTGTTATATCCTATTACGTTCAGGACACTGCGTGTTATATCCTATTACGTTCAGGACACTGCGTGTTATATCCTAGTACGTTCAGGACACTGTGACTTATATCCTAGTACGGTCAGGACACTATGTGTTATATCCTAGTACGTTCAGGACACTGCGTGTTATATACTAGTACGTTCAGGACACTGCGTGTTATATCCTACTACGTTCAGGACACTGCGTGTTATATCCTAGTACGTTCAGGACACTGTGTGTTATATCCTAGTACGTTCAGGACACTGTGTGTTATATCCCAGTACGTTCAGGACACTGCGTGTTATATCCTAGTACGTTCAGGACACTGTGTGTTATATCCTACTACGTTCAGGACACTGTGACTTATATCCTAGTACGTTCAGTACACTGCGTGTTATATCCTAGTACGTTCAGGACACTGTGTGTTATATCCTAGTACGTTCAGGCACTGCGTGTTATATCCTAGTACGTTCAGGCACTGCGTGTTATATCCTAGTACGTTCAGGCACTGCGTGTTATATCCTAGTACGTTCAGTACACTGCGTGTTATATCCTACTACGTTCAGGACACTGCGTGTTATATCCTAGTACGTTCAGGACACTGTGTGTTATATCCTAGTACGTTCAGGACACTGTGTGTTATATCCTAGTACGTTCAGGACACTGCATGTTATATCCTAGTTCGTACAGGACACTGTGTGTTATATCCTAGTACGTTCAGGACACTGTGTGTTATATCCTAGTACGGTCAGGACACTATGTGTTATATCCTAGTACGTTCAGGACACTGCATGTTATATCCTAGTTCGTACAGGACACTGTGTGTTATATCCTAGTACGTTCAGGACACTGTGTGTTATATCCTACTACGTTCAGGACACTGCATGTTATATCCTAGTTCGTACAGGACACTGTGTGTTATATCCTACTACGTTCAGGACACTGTGTGTTATATCCTAGTACGGTCAGGACACTATGTGTTATATCCTAGTACGTTCAGGACACTGCATGTTATATCCTAGTTCGTACAGGACACTGTGTGTTATATCCTAGTACGTTCAGGACACTGCATGTTATATCCTAGTACGGTCAGGACACTGCATGTTATATCCTAGTACGTTCAGGACACTGTGTGTTATATCCTAGTACGTTCAGGACACTGCATGTTATATCCTAGTACGGTCAGGACACTATGTGTTATATCCTAGTACGTTCAGGACACTGCGTGTTATATCCTAGTACGTTCAGGACACTGTGTGTTATATCCTAGTACGTTCAGTACACTGCGTGTTATATCCTACTACGTTCAGGACACTGCGTGTTATATCCTAGTACGTTCAGGACACTGTGTGTTATATCCTAGTACGTTCAGGACACTGTGTGTTATATCCTAGTACGTTCAGGACACTGCATGTTATATCCTAGTTCGTACAGGACACTGTGTGTTATATCCTAGTACGTTCAGGACACTGTGTGTTATATCCTAGTACGGTCAGGACACTATGTGTTATATCCTAGTACGTTCAGGACACTGCATGTTATATCCTAGTTCGTACAGGACACTGTGTGTTATATCCTAGTACGTTCAGGACACTGTGTGTTATATCCTACTACGTTCAGGACACTGCATGTTATATCCTAGTTCGTACAGGACACTGTGTGTTATATCCTACTACGTTCAGGACACTGTGTGTTATATCCTAGTACGGTCAGGACACTATGTGTTATATCCTAGTACGTTCAGGACACTGCATGTTATATCCTAGTTCGTACAGGACACTGTGTGTTATATCCTAGTACGTTCAGGACACTGTGTGTTATATCCTACTACGTTCAGGACACTGCATGTTATATCCTAGTTCGTACAGGACACTGTGTGTTATATCCTAGTACGTTCAGGACACTGCATGTTATATCCTAGTACGGTCAGGACACTATGTGTTATATCCTAGTACGTTCAGGACACTGTGTGTTATATCCTAGTACGTTCAGGACACTGCATGTTATATCCTAGTACGGTCAGGACACTATGTGTTATATCCTAGTACGTTCAGGACACTGCGTGTTATATCCTAGTACGTTCAGGACACTGTGTGTTATATCCTAGTACGTTCAGGACACTGTGTGTTATATCCTAGTACGTTCAGGCACTGTGTGTTATATCCTAGTACGTTCAGGACACTGCGTGTTATATCCTAGTACGTTCAGGACACTGTGTGTTGTATCCTAGTACGTTCAGGACACTGTGTGTTATATCCTAGTACGTTCAGGACACTGTGTGTTATATCCTAGTTCGTACAGGACACTGTGTGTTATATCCTAGTTCGTACAGGACACTGTGTGTTATATCCCAGTATGCGCACGGCTCCGTGACGCCTGGTGATGGGGAAATCGTCCCGATGGGCATCGAACTGCACAACAAGAGTATGATTACCTACCCAGGAACTCCCGACCCGCCTATAGCCTGCTTCAAGAAGACGATCAACTTCCATGACTTCACAAAGGTACACGTGCAACTCATGTGTGTGTGTGTGTGTGTGTGTGTGTGTGTGTGTGTGTGTGTGTGTGTGTGTGTGTGTGTGTGTGTGTGTGTGTGTGTGTGTGTGTTCCATCTGATGATTAAACAATTTGTAACATATTCTTCTGAATATCGTCTAGCTGATAATTAAACAAGTTGCAACTAATATTTGTGTAGACATTGTAAGATGGGGTTTAAGGCGACATCTCCAGAATGTATAAATGTGACAAATGTGACAAATGTGACAAAGCAATAATTATCTACTCCAAACTGACTCTGGTGCTGTGTTTTAATCTGTCTTTATTACGAACAATCAAACAATTTGCAACCAATCTTCTTGTAGCCAAAGAGAAATTCAGAGACTTTACCACTGTTTGAGACACCTGACTGAAAAGTGTCTTTGACTGTATGTTTGCAGGGCTTAGTAGCCACGAAGGGCGTTTTATAAAAAAATACCTGTTTTATAAAAAATTTAAAAAATCTGACGAGACATGTGTATTTGTTCGGTATGTGTTCGATCAGAGATCACGCTCGGGCTGTATGAAGAGCAAGGGGTTGGTTATACAGGTAATGAATAAGTACAGATCGTTGCAACTGACCATTATACAACATAACTCAAATTCTAGTAACCAATGTGAAATTCCAACACAACAATAGCTATTTGAGATAAACGACTGAAATGCTTCTTTGACTGTTTTTTGCAGGGCTTGGTGGCTATGAAGGCAGTTGGGAAAGCAACGTGTTTTGTCAAAACATCTGGCGAGACATATGACGAAATGAAGAAGGTCGTAGATCGTATCAGAAATGTATGTTGTGGAATATTGATACATATTCCAACATGAGTTGTGTGTCACTTTCTGCAATTGCAGATTCACCCTGATAATAATTCTAGGTCTGACTGCACCACATCCGTGCACGAGGGTTACAGCAACGTGCTGGAACTGCATCATCTCTGAGATGCTGTGATGGAACTGAAGTATTGTTGCGTTTTCACTATCTCACTCACTCACCCAACAACATAATCATATGACGTTTTAAATTGCATTGCATTGTGAATTATATCACTCTGATCGTATGTCTATCACGCAGGGAGATAAAGCACCAAAGGTTCAAGTCACGGAAGAGTGGGCCGTTCCAAAAGCAGAAGTACCTACTGAAGAAGTCGTCCAGAGAGTAGGCGCAAAGATCGCTAACTTCTGTAGCGGCTGCAGGGTGTATGTCCTCCAAGATGGCAAAGTGATTCGGACTGCTGCAGGTAAGTTTTTTTTCTTCTAGATACAATACAGAACTGACAGATCAAATTTGATAGATGGGAACGTTATGTTTGTTACAAAATACAGACGCACTGCACTTTTTGAACATGGGTTAACATTCGATTGGCTTGACATATTTGCCGTAGATATATATACGGCAACCATAAGATGCATAATGACACATGGATATATATATATTCTGAAGCCAAAGGAGACACTCGGAAATAACAGCTGGATTATAAAAATGAAGGAATTGGGAACACATTACAACCGGTAGTGAAGTATGACAGTAGTCGTTGAAGGAAAACGATCCTGAAGGACGATTGTGGTAAGATGGAAAATTTCAAAGTTCAATATTGTGGATCAAACATTCATTCACTCGACGAAGCATACTGCGTATGAATCTCTTCATGGCGATTTGAGGGAGTCTGTCCCACTCCTCCCCTCCTCCAACGTGGTCGACGGCCTATGACGTCGACGCGGCTCCCTCCCATAGGTGTTCATTCGGGGAAAGATCTGGGCTCACTGCTGTCTATGGCATTCTATGGACGTTGTGCTACTAGGGTGGGCATTGACGATGCGTGCACGGGGAGAGAGGGCGTTGACGTCCTTAAAGACGAAACGTCGACCCACGTCTTGCAAACAGGGCAATAAAAGGTGTCAGGATGTTGTCCCGATTGTTCTATCCCTTGGCCCTTCCTTTCACAATGGGGTTTGGTAAGTCATAGTAATGCAACGCCATAACCGATCCACCGCCAAATCTGTCATGAGATCTCGGCTTGCCACTGGCTTGACGTCCACCTCAACGTCGCCATACGACTATCCCAGTTTATGTACAATTCTGACGTCTGTTGGGAATATGATTTGTCAGGGGTGGCACAACACGAGCATGTAGATGAACTGCATGTAGACGAGTTCTAGTTCTCTGTCCCTTAACTCGTAGTCCAGTAGTGTAATGAAAGTTTGCGGCAATTTGATTCTCCATTTGAACGCGATTTGATAGAGCCTGATCAATCTACTCTATACTCTTGTTGTTCAGCTGGGACGCTCTGAATTGGGACGATGAACATGTTGGTTGTTGGTATCTGTCCCACAGATTGCTAATCACAGACTGTGACACATTGAACGTATGGGCCACTGTACGATGACTTCTGCCAGTCTCTACCATGCCAATAGGCTATAGAGGCGCGCGCGTTCCAGACGCAGCTTCGCTATTTCATACACAAAAAATGAATGAAATCAAGTAAATCACAACTCTGTGACAAACAGAAATAATAAAATTGAAAGGAATAAGTGTCCACAGTGATTAATGGCCCGTCCTTGAAAGTGCCAAAATTAGGAATGACACCCTACTCACCTGTGGGGCGCTACTGCGTGCGGCACGCGTAAGCTATCGGATGTGTTTTGGTGTAATGTTTTACAAACATGACCGTTCTTGCATAGAATGTTTGTCGTCAACCCTTATCTTTGTTCTAATACTTGATATCATCATTTATATTTCATGTTCTTCTACTTGTTTAAGAGTATATATTCTTCAGTGATGAAATTAATATCATTTGATATCAGGACTGTCTATCTGTGTGTATGTTGTACACAGTATACATGTTCAACACAGATAAAATTAATAACTTTTATTTCAGATGTTCCCAGAGTCACTAGACGGGGAAGAGGTAGGTTTACAATCAAACCCGGAAGTGATATAGAAGACATATACAAATCACGAGTTGATCGTTAACAGTTGGGAATGTTTGGGAGGATGCATTGTGCTCATCGTACTGACGTTCTCCCTAGGGTAATAGGTGAGGTGATTAAAATGGGGTTTAACGTCGCGTCCAAGATTATTGCACGTATATAGCGACGTGCATGTACGTGTGTGTGTTTGTGTGGCTGCTTGTACTAATCCTGACTGATGCCGATTTATAGTGCTAGCACACTGAGATACCATGCTGCAGTTGAACATGAATACCCCACTCAGACACAGTATACTGACTCCGAGCCGACCAGTCCTTGTTTTAGCTCCTTAATGCCGAGCGAGAGACAGGGTAACAACAAGTACCATCTTTTAACGTCTTTTGGTATGACGCGGTCGGGGATCGAACCCCGGACCTTCCGCTCTCCGGGCGGACGCTCTACCACTAGACCACGGAGGCGGTCTCCGGGCGGACGCTCTACCACTAGACCACGGAGGCGGTCTCCGGGCGGACGCTCTACCACTACACCACGGAGGCGGTCTCCGGGCGGACGCTCTACCACTAGACCACGGAGGCGGTCTCCGGGCGGACGCTCCACCACTAGACCACGGAGGCGGTCTCCGGGCGGACGCTCCATCACTAGACCACGGAGGCGGTCTCCGGGCGGACGCTCCACCACTAGACGACGGAGGCGGTCTCCGGGCGGACGCTCCACCACTACACCACGGAGGCGGTCTCCGGGCGGACGCTCCACCACTACACCACGGAGGCGGTCTCCGGGCGGACGCTCCACCACTAGACCACGGAGGCGGTCTCCGGGCGGACGCTCCACCACTACACCACGGAGGCGGTCTCCGGGCGGACGCTCCACCACTAGACCACGGAGGCGGTCTCCGGGCGGACGCTCCACCACTACACCACGGAGGCGGTCTCCGGGCGGACGCTCTACCACTAGACCACGGAGGCGGTCTCCGGGCGGACGCTCTACCACTAGACCACGGTGGCGGTCTCCGGGCGGACGCTCTACCACTAGACCACGGTGGCGGTCTCCGGGCGGACGCTCTACCACTAGACCACGGACGCGGTCCCCTACGGTAATAACCTCAATAGGCACACGTGAACGTTTTCAAAGTTATGGTTATTATACATCATAACAATTGAGCAAACGATGCATTAGGTTACACAACGAATAAGAGGAACGGTTTATTCTGACTCATTTCTACAGTTCCCAAGAAGAGGTCTCAGAGTCAGATTGGTGATGTGTCTGTTTTCCCAGGGATGTTAATGATAGTGAATCAGTGCGACAAAGCAATGGCTGTCTCTGACTCTTTAGTTTCATGTAATCGTGCAACACAAGACCGAAATTGTTTGCTCAGGTCGTCCATATTCTAATATGGATCTTGTTTATTTTTGCGTCTGGCGCATATGGCTATAATCTGAATCTGTTCTAAGACCAGAGCCCATTGTACGATTCTAACTATATCATGCGCATGTGTTTATGAATCACTATCAAATAGCGATGACATCAGGTGTGGGGACAAAAGGTGAGCGTATCCTGCCCCACCGGCGGCACCCGTCACAAACACATGCAAAGGCAAGTCAAGGCATGTTGGTTTGGGGACATTTTCCCAGAGGGTCAGTTTTTCGGGAGACAGTTGTGCGTGGCATGTCCATTGATCCGTCAGCTTCAGTAGCTATTGACAACGAGGACAGCAAAGAAACTGCAGAATCGTTGTCTTTGCGCCAATGTACTTGATATACGTTATTTGTGATTTATTCTCGCCAATTGTATACGAAAGATAATCAACTGTAACATCACATTAAGTGACATCTAGTAGCTATATAGCTGATTGACTGAGATAGCATTCACAAGCGAATGGCTTAGTAGCTTATGCAGGAAATATGGCTCTGTACTAAGAATTTACAAATCCGAAAGCAGGGTTCATTTGTGGCAATATATCTAGATTAGTTCAGTTCAAACAAATGTTTCCACACGGGTGGAATGGTTTACTCATAGGACAAACATTTATTTGATGTCGTACTACGTAGGATAAACTACGTACAGATGTACAGGCCCAGTTGGGGTCCCGGGTTGGAATTACTGTCCGTAGTACGTGACTCAGTGAATCGGGTGGTCAGGGTAGGTGACTTGGTGGGTTGTGTGTCATCATTACCTGACGTCACCGGGTTGGAATTACTGTCCGTAGTACGTGACTCAGTGAATCGGGTGGTCAGGGTAGGTGACTTGGTGGGTTGTGTGTCATCATTACCTGACGTCACCGGGTTGGAATTACTGTCCGTAGTACGTGACTCAGTGAATCGGGTGGTCAGGGTAGGTGACTTGGTGGGTTGTGTGTCATCATTACCTGACGTCACCGGGTTGGAATTACTGTCCGTAGTACGTGACTCAGTGAATCGGGTGGTCAGGGTAGGTGACTTGGTGGGTTGTGTGTCATCATTACCTGACGTCACCGGGTTGGAATTACTGTCCGTAGTACGTGACTCAGTGAATCGGGTGGTCAGGGTAGGTCACTTGGTGGGTCGTGTGTCATCATTACCCGACGTCACCGGGTTGGAATTACTGTCCGTAGTACGTGACTCAGTGAATCGGGTGGTCAGGCTGGGGGACTTGGTACTTGGTGACATCGTTACCTGACGTCACAGATCGTTGCTCTTGATAAGAACGATTATTTATAGGCCCGTGTCATAAAGCTGGAATATTGCATGGTGCGGCTTTAACCGACCGACCATCAAAGAATATATGTGTAGCCATGACTCAGACATACAGACAATTTCTTAATTCAATCCTATGGTAGCATGTAGGGGCTGTGTTCTTGAAGGTAACGACATTGGCCTCTTTGTAGCACGATGCAATATGTAACCGCTCCAACACAATACATTTTACTGGAGTGATGTATACTAGTTGCAGAGATGTAGGTTATCAATCTGCCAAAGGTCAAGAGGTGCATAAACGACATCTATACGATGAGCATACTAATAAACCCTTAAGGCGTCACTTAAGTAACAGGCAAGGCATACGTCTTCCATAAACATTCAAACAAATGATATGTGATAGTTAATTCTGTTACTTTCTTTCTCAGCCAAATCTCTATCAAGCGTGTCTAAGCTGGCCAAGAGGGGAGGCTGGTGTCTGTTCTGTTTCTGGTGTGCTGCCGTCGGTAGATAATTACTGTACACACAGTCCATCTTGTAATAAAGCTTTATTACATGCCATGTAGATATTGTCTTTTGTGTTCCTCTATACAGATGCGGACAATACTGCATCTGATTAATACATCCTTTTCCAAATAGTATCTCCAACTCATTATCAAGTATATACATGCCGTCTAAATCCCAATTTATGTCCTATCACTGCATGTCTGGAGTCATCTGATGGATCGAATGTTAAAGTGGTATAGGTGCAACCCCTTAAGTGTGCCAGGGGACGACTGATTGTTACAGGTATGGGGGTGTCGGCAAAATATGATGCAGTCTTTAGACCAAGCAGCCCCACCCCAATAATAAATGACCAGTCCCTCTACGTTGTTTGTTCTAATACGTTTAATGGTGCTTGCTTGCTCATATATATATATATATTAGCACGGACATGTGGCACGGACATGTGGTTCAAACATCTTGTCAGTCCTATGTGCGTAGTCCTCTGTTTGAGTCCAGAGGTATCCCTACAGTTGTAATCGTAATTCTTGAGTTCCCTTGTAAGCATGCTGATCAGCTGACATTCGGACAGTGAAATTGGCCTGCGACAACTTATTTACTTTAACTATTATATCGGTGAGATTCAGATTCAGAATGTAAACGCTAAAGGCTTGAGCTGCTGGAACATTGCTCGACGTGAAGGGTGTGAGGCCAACGGCAAGTTGACCATTGGAAAGTTTAAGTCATCCCTCTGAAGCTTACGTGAGACTTCTTGGCCAAACTTCCCTGTTTTGACCTTGCCAATCCGTGAAGTAATTCCGATTCATATGCATAAAGTAACCCACCCACAAGAAAGGGAGCACAATTGGTCCCAATGGGCATGCCTGCTCCTTGCCTACGTGTGTTACCCCCAAATTTGACATTGATGTGTCAATGAGGAAGTCTCAGTGAACATCAGATGGCATTTGAGGTCGATTACATCATAGCTGACCATGGTGCCATTGAAGTTAGGTTCTTTCGGCTGGTTGACGAAAGAGGAGGAGTCAATGATGTTGGATTTTCCATCAAACTCACCATATATTCCCAAACTTTGTGTTCCTCATAATAAAGAAAGTGACATCCATTTATGCCCTTCATTATGTGTATTACTTCTAAATGCCTTTCAGAGACCAGTGTGTCTTAACTGTAAAGTTATTTGTGAGACGCAGTTACGCTTTTGGGGTCTCTTTACCCTTAAGGTTGTTCTTTTTCTTCTGCAACGCTTTCACGCCTTTTTAACTTTTCACAAAGAAGTAAAACATTTAAAACGTTAAGAAAACATTATACGATACTGATAATGTAGATGGACCAGTTATCGCCTTTTTATCGTGTTATTCTGGAATATTCCGTGTATAAAGTTGAGCTCCATGGGAATTGTTTGACTTCTGTTATAAGGCAACGAGGAAACGGAAAGAGGTGGAAAGAGTACTTTTCCGTGGACTAATTGCACCAGTTATCGCCACGGTACCGTCTAAATAGCACGTATCAGTGATCACCCTCACATCTTCAGTGATACAAATTACACTTTTTATTATTTTTGGTGCCGCACTCAGATATTTCGTTCATTGAAATTAATAATAAACGCTTTTATGAATTTGCCATCTGCAAACGGACTTAAACCAATATTCCTCAAATACAATCGGTCTATGTGCTATAGATTTCGGAATATAATCAGGTTATGTATTTTTCAAAAAATGCTCAGTCCGGTTTTTAAAAAGAAGTTTGAGGAAGAAATGACAGACAGATTGCAAGCAATGACTGAACTTCATCAGACGAGAACCGTGATGGACTGTCGGACCCCATCGCGGCTACCGGCTAACACTCAAAGTGTGTTTACAATATTGTTTGGTTTACGCGTGAATTAGTCACGCAACACCACCGCGTGTCTTTTCTTAAGTTACATTTGAGGAAGGTGTTTATCTATGGAATACTGTAAGGGACATTCTCGCGATCTCGACCTTTGGAAACGAGGTAAATATGCCCACAACACGAGAATGCGAGATGCTGATGCGGCTTTAAGCAATATTACTCACTCACTGACGGTAATAGTTTTGTTTCCAGCTTTCGGACACATTAATGTTTTCACTATCATTGGACATTCATGTACACAATTTCTTTTGTTAAATTATATTGAGCATGTTGAGGGTTTTATTATAAAGTACATAGGAAACTGTAACAACGGGAGATGACTCAGACTTTGTGTATGTAAATTACATAGCATTTTCAAGCTCAAGTCATAAGTTTGCTAAATGCTACTTGGAGAATGAAGAGTCAATTTTGCTCATAATTTTGGAATAGATATTTCTCTCTTGTAATGCAAAACATTCACACCTTATTCGTATGATTGGCATATGTGTTCGCGATGATCTCATAACATGAGCTTAACATTTGATGAAATATGTTCTGGCATAACATTTCAGCAACATGTTAAAAACTTTGTAAAAACATGTTATGAAATAATTTCGCCCATGATACAGCAAAACGTTCTTGAATATGTGATACCTACGAACAATGAAGAACGAAGCGTGGTTAATTTCACGCTAAAACATTATTCTATCATGACGTAATTTCTGGAGATTCGAACTCGATGACGTCGTTTTATGACGACGTTAGTTTTGAGAGAGGTGTGTCTATTGAATTGTTCGTATTGATGTAGCAGGGTAACGCAGATAAACCATCGCATCCCAAAACGGGAGAGATATGAAATCGGTATCAGGAGAAAAGATGCAGACAATCGAAGAGAGGATTGTGAGAACATGCGGGAAATACCCACCTGTTCATAAAATGGACTCCTCCGACATTGCCGAGGTCGGATTCTATTGAAGGAGTCATCATTATTTAAACACGGGTACATTTTTTTAAAGCGTGTAGAATTTATCGGCATCCTTAAAGACGCTGTACATATCTCATATTATCATGGTTATTCTCACTGCTGTGTTTTACTGTACGATAAACAACTCCCACTTTTGGTTTATATCTTAAATAACATTTGAAAAAACACGTTAAAAAAAATTAAAGTTGTGAAACATTTTGGAAAAGTTTTGAAAACGTTTTGACGAAAATGATTTTGAAAACCTATAATGAAACCTTATAAAAATGTTTTGAAAATGTTTTGTGTTTCAGATTATATTTGATCAACCAGTCACTTCTCAGTACGTTGATGTCAGTTCTATACATAGACCGCCGTCATATAGCACACACACACACACACGCACACGCACACACACACGCACACGCACACACACGCACACACGCACGCACACACACACGCACACACACACACGCACACGCATACACACACACGCACGCGCACGCACACGCATACACACACACGCACACGCACGCACGCACGCACACACGCGCACACACACACGCACACACACGCACGCACGCACACACGCACACGCACGCACACACACACGCACGCACGCACACGCACGCACACACACACACACGCACGCACGCACGCACGCACACGCACGCACACGCACGCACGCACGCACACGCACACACGCACGCACACACACACATACACACACATTCAGTTAAAGGTTCACACAGTTACACTTGCACAGCTAGGTAAAATCATAGGAAGAATCACAGTCAGACAATTGCTTCTTTGAAACACTCTTGAAGTAATGGCAGTTTGTTTCTTATTGGACGTATCGTCATAAAACAATGCAATGAAATGGAATTGGAAGTGTAATACATACTTTACTATGTTATTGTAGAAGAAAATCCGCCCGGAGAGCGAAAGGTCCGGGGTTCATCGCCGGTCGCGTCATACCAAAAGACGTTAAACGATGGTACTTGTTGTTACCCTGTCTGGCGCTCTGCATTAAGGGGCTAAAACAAGGACTGGTCGGCTCGGAGTCAGTATACTGTAACTGAGTGGAGTATATATATTAAACTGCGGCATTGTATCTCAGTGTGCTAGCACTATAAATCGACATCAGTCCGGTCTAGTACAAGCAGCCACACGCAGGCGTGCATACGCGACGCTATATAAGTACAGTAATCTTTAACGCGATTACCATTGTATAGTTGTTTAAGTGGACGTTCATAATGCTTCTACCAAAGATTCGCATCATAAACCTTATATGATACTGGCGTTATCGACCTGAATACCTCATTCAATTTGCTGTGACTCATGCTGGACATTATTATTTACGTTGTAGTGTTTTAGTCTTACTTCATTGGCCATGCATGTTCTCTCACCAATACTAATAATATGCGAAATATGAAAATGTGAAAATTTATAAACCACAGTCTTTTCACTGACCTGAACCTTCAAAACATGTACACATTAAATGCTGATCATAATTTGCAGGTTCTGATGAAGATGAACAGTTTTGTCCGTATATATAGTTCATAGTTGTGCAATACAAAAACAGTATATGAGGATTGCAGATTCACCACACATGGTAGACACAAGCACATGCATGCTTCGTGCAACATATTATCACATAAGTTAAGTAATCTATGCAGTCATCATCAGTCAGTGAACACACAAGGTCAATAAATAATTTTTCGACAATAACATAATGGCTCAGGCGTCTTAATCTACAGTTGGCAAACGAGGTGTTTGTTTTCGACATACAGAAGTCAGGTAATCTGGTCGGCATGCTTCGCTCATCACAGAGGGTATTCAGAAGAACCAATGCTCGTTATCTTCTATGGGGGTGCGGCATTAATCACGTTCCTATCTGACATACATTTTCAATGGAAGTAAATGAATAAATAAAGTGTAGGAACTTTTAAGTGAACTGTTGTTCCATTTAACTGAAGATGGAACCTGAACGTTTAATGTATAATTAATGTTCTTGGATTATTAAAACAACGAGAGTCGTCTCAAGTTCATACGGGAACTCTGCTCAACAATTAGCACGTTGTTGCACGGAGATTGTTATTCCGTTTACATAAACGAATAACACGTGCAAATGTTTGATTCAGAAGATTACTGGACATAATTCATGCCATGATAGCAGCGTGTGAGACTGTAAACGAGGTTTATGTTCACATATCATCATAAAAGATAG